CAGGAACCAGGAATAGTCCCAACTGGCCCCTGTAAGGTTTAAAGCAATTTCACATGGAGCCAAACCAAGGGAAACATGAAGTTTCTCTGCTTCCACATCTCCCCTTTACAAGTCTCTCACATGCATGTTCTGGCCACTTCCCAGCTTCTATCACTGTGAAACCCATGGCCCTTCCAGAGAGCTGCTATATCCTTCCACCTCCATAGTTCTGGATTTTCTCCCCCAGCCTGTGACTTTGCCCCACCACCTACACATTCTGGACAAACAGGATGGTGTAGTGAAATAGGGCAAGTGCTGGTACCATTTTCCTGGAATGAAACAGACCTGCTAAGCCCAACCCAGCACTATGAACAAGGGCTGGAGGATCCTTCTTTAGCTCAAGTGACAAGCAGAAAGACTTTTGGTTCCATCCTGCCTACCTACCTAACATGTCCATGCCATAGTTATAACAACGGACTGTTTCTTCCAGGAACATAGGCCCTTGCTACTTTTACCAACTCAGATTCTTGGTAGGGTGACAGGTTAGACCAGGCCCGTACTAGAAAGTTCTCCTGGCCCAGCAATTCTAGTTTGTTTGTACCATAGCAAGGTAGCCTTAATGTGTACCAGCAAAAAACTCTTTTTCCTTGTTTAAATTCTTCAGGGTTCCAGAGCAAAATTAGCCAAATCAGCTAAAACACTTCTGTACAGTATAGCTTTGTCCCTATTTGGGATTTTGCTGGTATAGAAATATGATTTAAAAAGTGTACCCCAAACTGGTATGACTTTGCCAGTAAAGGGGAGCCTGTACACATCACAGGTTTTAATCCTCATTAAATTAAATAGGTTTATAAAATTTAAACTTGTTTATTTTGGAGTGTCTCGTCAGTGTTTGCACATGCTAGGCTTTCAAAAGAATTAAGCTTTGGAGCACTGCATCAGTGTTTGCACGCACTAGGTTTTTGAACTAATTAAGCCCGGTCTTTGGCGGGCACCACAGAGGAGCAGGACAGTCCAGCACTGACCCCCCAGCCCGGGGACCCCCACCCCGTACCCCATATCCCCTGCCCTGTGCTCATGCCCATGCAGCAGGAAGCTGGCAAACCACACAAGAAAAAAAAATGGAAGCAATTCAAAATCAAAAGCAATTCAAAGGGGTGAACTACAAAGAAGTCGCAGTCATCTGGTGGACAGAGAGACTCATTACACGTCTTTGAGTGCCTTTGTGTTTGCATGCAACAAATCCATGGATGCAACACTTTAATTCCCTGTGAGCCAAATTAAACTACGTCTGAGGAGTTTGACTTTAATGCACATGAAAGACTTTTAAAGTGTCCAGAAATCCTGCTCAAACAAACAGACACGCAGTTGCAGCACATGAAAGGGCAAAAAATGTGGTGTATACAAAGGCCCAAGGTTTCTAGTGTAGATGTGGCTAAGGGAAGGACACACATTAACTGCTGGGATGTTGCCCAGCCCTGGTCCTGTACCAGTCTTGTGTATTTATGCCACTGGTGAAATATAATCCACCTCTCTCATCATTTATATGGTCCACCTCACTGTTCCAAGATTTGAACACCTCCCTGTCCTGAACTTCAGTGGGAACTGAGAAGTAGAGAAAGAAAGTATTTTGCCTAAGGGTTCACAAGCAGCCAGATTGGTCAGAAACCCAACCCCAAATCCTCCTTCATTACTTTTACTACAAAATCATCTTTCCTTATGAATATAAATAAGTGTCACTTATTTAGAAAGCAAATCTCTGACTGCATGGACCTGATTTCTGTGGCTTTCTATACACCTTCTCTGAGGGGGAAGTCGGGGGTGCATTTCAATTAGACTGGTTCCCAGGCAGCCACTCTAATTAAAACACCACAGCATCATGTGTATTAAGTCCCCGCTCATGTGTATTAAGCCCCCGCACATTTAAAAATGGTCACAGGGGGCTCCTATACATGTGCAGGGAGGCTGCTCTGACACACTGTAATTACAGCACATTGGAGCAGACTCAGTTGTTCGAATCTACTAGAGCATGGTAATTACCATGTTCCAGCAGACTCCAGCATCTCATGTATCAGTGTCCCCACTCTGAAAAATGGCGGCGGGGCATTTGTTCAATGAGCTTTAGTTCAAAGCGCCCTGCCACCATTTTTCAGCACAGGAATGCTGATACACATGATGGTCCAGGTGCTTTAATCAGCACAGCTCTCGGACCTGCACTAATTAAAGCACCCCCACCTCCCGGGGTACACTTCATCTAAACTTCTTCGATGAGGTTTAAAGTGTCCTGTGGCTATTTTAAAACATGCAGGAGCTTAATACACGTGATGCTGGAACAACGCTGCATTGTTCTAATTAGAAGGCATAGCAGACTCAATTAATTGAGCCTACACCAACCTGTTCTAATTAGAATGCCAATGAACAGGCATATAGGGAGCCCTTAAGACTGAGAAGTTTCTTTATCACTGTACAGAGGAATCTCATAGCAAAGTATTTACTTATTATTACATACATTTCTGTGGCAATCATCACAGTGTCTGAGGTACTTTAAATATATTTTAGAATACCAGAAATGCTGCTTTACTTATCACTCCCAGCCAATCATGGTAATAGATTAAGAGAAGAATGTGGTTCCTTCATTCCTTTTTGTGCCCTTGTGACAGTGTGTTTAGCAGAATTTGCAGATCCATTGTGATCTGACAGAGCTGCGCCTTGAGTGCTTCTTCTGTGGCCTAGAGTATGGGTGATAATGTACTAGTTAACAGTTTTGCAGGCTAGGATGGTTTTTCTTTTAAGCTGAAAGAAAGATGTGTGGACTCAAACTGCATCACTAACAAGTAGTTTGCACTGAGGATCCCAACTTTTAACATCCAAATCATCAGCTACAACAGTTGCAGGATGTTCTTTGCTGACATTGCCTGATATTGAAATATTTACAGTGCCATCTAGTGGATCTGCCAGCTCTAGTTCATGCTCTGTTGATTAAGCTCTTTCATTAAGCTCGTTTGACTGTTGCTGAAAGCACCACTTGCCTACTGTGATGCCATGGAGAGCTGCTGGAGTGACTCACTCACTCTCTACCTGATTAAAACTTGGCCTGCTCTAAGTCTGGAAAGGAAGAGCAGGAAAATGTAAAATGATGGAAACCTGGCAAAACAGGATAATTAGCCTGAAGTGTGTGTGGGGAGGGGAATCTTTAGCCCAGCCTCACCACCTGCTATCCTTCCCCACTTCCTGACTCAGCCATGAACAACAGGCAGGGATTGCTGAGGCCAGTCTGAGGACCTTGCAGACATAGCTAGACCATCCCAAGGACCCCAGCAGTGGAAGTGATGCAGGAAAGCACCATCCAGCTCTGTTGCAGGTGTTGCTGTGGAGCACAGAGCATTGCACCTGACCCTGCCCGTATGTTCCCCTCACATACAGCTGTGCCCAGCTAAATCACATGCCCCTCACCAGCCTGGAGCTCCTTTAGCTCTTTGCCTCCATGGTCTTTGTGTGGTGAGACCCAGTACACAAAGTATGGGGAGGGGGAATTCAGCCCAGAAATTCAAACCTGTTGAAGGGGCAGATGGAGGAAATTTTGAACCATTTGTCCAGGCAGCTGTGGGGGCTGCCAGCGATCTCACTGAGGCTGTCACACCAGGCAGTCTATCTTGCTTGTGCTTTGAATGACATCCCGCTGAAACGGCACCAGAGGAAACTGAGGGTGGAGATTAGGAGGAACTTTCTGACTATGAGGATGGTGAAGTATTGGAACAGGCTGCCTGGAGAAGTTGATAAATCTCCCGCCCTGAACATTTTCAAGACCAGGTGAGACATGTTTGGCTGGGATGCTTTGGGTCAGGGATAATCATGCCCTGCCTGGAGGTTTGAATTAGATGGATCTCACCAGGGTCAGTCCACAATTTTTTGGGGCTCCTCGCAAGCAATAGTTTTGTGCTTTGAATGACATCCTGCTGAAACGGCACCAGAGGAAACTGAGGGTGGAGATTAGGATTAACTTTCTGACTGTGAGGATGGTGAATTACTGGAACAGGCTGCCTGGAGAAGATGTGAAATTTCCATCCCTAGACACTTTCAGGAGCAGGTTAGACAGATACTTGACACGAATGGTTTAATCAGGGGTGATCTTGCCCTGAGTGGGGGCTAGGCTACATGACTTCCTGCAGTCCCTTCCAGCCCAACTTTCCTCTGAACCTATGACCATGGACTGATGCCACTGAACCTCTCTTCCTAAAATTCTTCTCACCTCTGGGCTGACAGACAGGCTGGCCTTGAGCCAGGGATAACGGGAAGGGGAATTACGAAAAATACAAGAGAAGAAGCAGTGGTCTGAAAAGGAACTAGAGAAAAGGTTTGAGAGGTCACTGTTCAGACACTAGCCTGGGATTTAGGAGTCCCAGGTTCAATTCTGTGCTCTGTAACAGGCTTCCAGTGTGAACTCAGGCAAGTCCCTGAAGTCTGAAATCAATGGGAGTTTGGTGTCTAATCCCTTTGAGGATCTGAGCCTTAGGTCTACTTCCTCATCCATCTCTCAGACATCTGAGTGGCCTAAGACATCCAAGTGTCATCCTGTTCACCCTGCTTGAGTCCTTGGAAAGCAGCGACCACAAGTGGTGGTGGAACCTCCTTGTGCTGGCTGCTTTCTGGGAGCACCTCGGGGCTAAGACAGTAGCGTGTACCAAAAGAAGGTGCATGCAACATTTTTTCAGGAATAGGATCACAGTTGGGTACCTATGTCCACTCCAATAGCACTTAGGTAGGTGGAATAGGATCTGACTCTTAGTGTCTCTGCACATTCACTCCCCCTCTGTCAAGCTGGGACAGAAGCACTTTCCTTGCAGAAGTGCTACAAAGCTAAACAGATAACAGATTGTGGGTCACTGCTTGTGTAGTGATGGGGCCATGTAGTGCCTGAGAGAGGAAGTTTCCACAACGTTTTTCACAACCAGCTGCTGGGTGGAGCAAAGGACACCTTGTCCCTCTGCATCATGCTCACTGTTCTTGTGTTCTGTGTTTAGGTACCGCCTCTGTTGCAGTAGCTGGCATCTTTGCAGCCTTAAGAATCACGAAGAACAAACTATCCAACCACAAATTTGTTTTCCAGGGAGCTGGAGAGGTAGGGTTCAGGGGTTATTTTGTTCCTAAATTCATCCTTTTGCCTTCCAGCTGAAAGAGAAAAAACTAAAGAAGAAATAGAGACACAACTTCCTCCCAGAGCAGGGGTTGGCAAGGTTTTGCAGCAGGGGGCCGCTGTAATGGAGTTTAGCTCCAAGCTCAGGCCAATTTAACCCAGCACGCACCACCAGAACCAGAGCTGCAACCACCCTCCCACTCTCTGCCTCCCTGCAAAGCCACAACCACCATTTCTTCCCAAACCCTGAGCAAAGCCCCCTACCACAGAAGCATGGCCAAAGCAATGCAGAAGAGGCCCCCCAGCTCCATGGACTGGATAAAATGACTCCACAGTTGGGATCCAGCCCATGGGTCGTAGCTTGCCAGCCCCTGTCCTACAGTATTTTACTGAGCTGTGTGCAATGAGGCTGCACAAAAGTTGATGGAGGTCTGATGCAGCCTGTCGAATATTACAGACAACAATGCTGGAAGAAGCCTGGCTTTTCTGTTGAGGTCCAGCCTGAGTCCACAGGGATGGGGCTTACAGAACACCAAATTCTTCTTCATAAACTGAGCACTTTGGACCTGGACTCACAGGGTCAATAAATACAGAACTTCACAGCACCACTTTTCAGAGCACTGCATTTCATTTCAAGGCAGAAATCCTGTGCATCTCTGAGTGTGCCCAGTGCTAGGCACAAGAGGCAAGGGAGAGGAGAAGGAAAGGCAGGAGGTTAAGGCACTGGACTTGAACTGAGGAGGTCTGGGTTTGGTTCCTGGCTCTGCTACTGCCTTCCTGTGTGACTCCGGACAAGGTGCTTAACCCTTCAGTGGCCATCCACAAGATGGAGATGGTAGAACGTCCTGTCTCCAAACCTTTGTCACATGCATTCAGACTGTGATCTCATCAGAGCAGGAGTTGTCCTTCCCCAAGTGTATGTGCACTGCCTTGGTTTAGCCCATTTGTGCAACTGTAATAGCAATTGCAGCATAGTGTGTCAGGGACAGCTTGTTTGGTCATGCAGCAGTGGAAGAAAAAAGTGACTCTGCACCTCTCAGCATTTCAAATGCTTTGTTTCCAGTACTGCCCAAGTTGCTTTCTGCTGGCTTCATCCTGATGCCCCTTCAGTCCAGCTTCTGCTTACCTCCACTCCATTGGCATGGCAAGCATGAAGGTCTTGGGCAGCTCGTCCTGGTCATATCCTAGGCAGAGTACTCCATCTTCAACCCCTCTGACCAGTCCGCTATTTTGGACGCAGTCGGTCACCCCTCCTTGACAGGTTGCCTTCCCATCCCAGCAGTGCAGCACAGCTTGCCCACCTGAACACTTACTACTTGTATTGTGGTGGTGCCTTAGGAGTCTCAGTCACGGGCCAAGGCTCCATTGTGCTAAGCACTACCTAGGACACACGGATAGTCTTCTGCTCCAAAGACTTATGGTCTGCCTGTTTTTTTGAGAATGGGGCCTGGGGGAAGTAGTAACTTTTTAATATGTTTCCCTGAATGTTGCAGGTTGCTTGGAAAAACTAACCAGAGAGTTTCCATTTATGTCTGCTTTCCAGGCTGCGATGGGCATAGCTTATCTCATCATTATGGCCATGGAAAAGGAAGGCATTTCCCAAGAGGAAGCCATCAAAAAAATCTGGATGGTGGACTCCAAAGGCCTGATTGTCAAGGTAAGTCTACCCCGACTGCACTGCTCTGCTGGGAGAGCTCCAGTTATACCACATGTCAGCTCTAGTATGAAGGGGTAACTCACAGCAGGGAAAGCATATGGGGGCACAGGCAGCCCTGGTGTTCTTCTGTACCTTCTTACAGAAGCCAAAGGCAAATTTGATCTGGTGTGGATGCTGTTTCCAGGTTTGTCAGAATGATCTGGGGACAGCGCCAGGGACTTAGACAGGTAAGACAGAAGGACAACTCTGCTAGTGGAGCTTCCTACAGTAAGGGTTAAAGCTTGTTTGTATGCAAGACAGAGCTTTCTCACAGGACTTTCTTGAGACACTGGAGTGGATAGCCTCAGGAATTAGGAGCCCACTAGAGACTGCATCCATTCCCACTCCAAGTGTAAGGTGTCCTTCAACCTGCCTCCCCCAGCATAAACCTCAGGTAACATGCTCAGAAAAACTCCACACACCTCCCACAACATAACACTGTACTGCACGTGTCATTCTCCATGGGGAAGAGGATGGAAAACCAAACCGCGCCTGGGTGAGTTGAAGTCATACTGCTTACTTCATGGAAGACGCTTGGATGCTATAAAGATGAGCACTTCATAATAACAGGACACATGAAACATTGAAATTGTGGAAACACGGTTTACTAAACCATTGACCCAGACTTGTGTCATTTCCCATAAATGCATCTGCTCCTTTTCCCTCACAGGGGAGGAGTCACCTGAACCATGAGAAAGAAATGTTTGCTCAAGATCATCCCAACGTGAAAACACTAGAGGAGGTTGTGCAAAGAGTGAAGCCAACAGCTATTATAGGTAGAGTCACTTAAACACGGACACTTTCTCATCTGTGTATTTCTTACTTTCCCTTGCTTTCTACTAAGGGCTCCTTTACTGCCCCAGTCAAAAAACAACAGGTCTCCATTTTGCTCCTTTATTTCCAGCCCCCTTTCTGGAGGCTGCGGATCACAAGCATTATCCTTCCTTCTCCAAATACAGACATTGCTGCTCCTCAGTTGGGTAGGGATGGTACCGTTGGCTTTAGCAGATATGTGTCACCCCAAAGGAGGTGACCACAGCCCTAGTTAATCAATGGAGTAAAAGGCTGGTATCCATTCCCAGAGCCAGGTCTCCTGAAGAGTAAGCTCTGAGTACAATCACTAAGTCACCTCAGACAAATGCTCCGTTGGCCAGCTGGTGGGTCCCATACTGATCCCCTACCCAGTGAAAAGGAGGCCTTTATCCTGAGACTGTTTGAATGCAACAATGACGGGACTTATCTGTAGGCTTCTCCAAAGGTCCCACCTGTTCGCTCACGCTGTTCATTATACTGAGCGGTAACAACAGGTGAGACTTAAAGAGACTAGGACTCAGTCTGGGCATGAGTTAGGAGTTGACTGTTTCCTCTTTGCAGGTGTGGCAGCCATTGCAGGGGCTTTCACTGAACAGATTTTGAAGGACATGGCAGCTTTCAATGAGAGGCCCATCGTATTTGCCTTAAGCAACCCCACAAGTAAAGCAGAGTGCACAGCTGAGCAGTGCTACCGCCTCACAGAGGTATGTACACTACTGTGTCTCACTGTAGTTTGGCAGAATTGCCAGAAGATTGTGGCACACAGAAGAAGCCTGTCTGGGGCTGCAGTGCAGAGTTATGTTATGTCATGGCCGTAGAATTAATTAGTATCATAATTTATATTATAATCACTGAACTATATTTATGTTAGCTTTTGAAATGGGGTATCACTATCTTCTAGAAAGTTGTGGAGGAGTACCTGGAGTTAAAAAGCTTGCAAACCCGCAAGCTGTGGAGCTTTTGCAGTTGATCCTTCAAGAGCATCAGCAGGAAGGGTTCCTGATCCAGGGGAATACTGTCCTGTTCCCCCTCACAGGTCCATCTACAAAACCTTGCTTTGTGTATCTGCAAAACCATGGAGGGCTGAGCACAGGCCTCTTCCCAAGCTTTGCTACTGTAACTGGGATGGTCTTTTCTTGCCTTCCAAGATAAATTCACTAGTGACCAAGGCATTGAAATACTATGGCAAAAGGGACTTGATCTGTACTAAGATAAATAGGTCAGGGTGAGACCAAAGACCATGCTTTTTGTCTGGTACCCGGGCAAATGGAAACTAAATCCCTGAGGGTACTTTTCTGTAAGAACAAAGAGAGAATTGATCCTCTTGTTCTGGTGAGCAAACCTTCTGTCAGGCTAAAAGTTGGATCCTAATGATGAACTCTGAATTTGCCGTCCCAGTCACCAGACTTCTCTGAGATTCTCTCAGGTCATGAACAGTAGAATAAATTCTAAGTGGTGTTCCCCCAAGGTGTGTGTCTGTCTGTCTTCCAACAGGGCCGAGGTATATTTGCAAGTGGGAGTCCTTTCCCTAAAGTGACCCTGCCCAATGGACAGACCTTCTTCCCCGGCCAAGGAAACAATGCCTATGTGTTCCCGGGAGTGGCACTGGGAGTCATCGCCTGTGGGGTCCGGCATATCTCTGATGATCTCTTCCTCACCACTGCAGAGGTTACACACTTGAATTCAACCAGCACTTTTAAAACAAATTAAAACAGAGCTTCACTGTGATTTGTTGGTCTGCATGAGGCTAGTTAAAGGCTTCAGCCTAGGACAGGGTGCTAAACATGGATTTCACCTTTCACCTAAAAGTTAGGCTTTTAGAAAAATGGCTTTACCATAGCTGTACTATGGCCAAACAACAAGATTTGAATGCAGACCTCTCTTTTTTTCCCATTTTTTCTAACATGGTACATAGCCCACTATATTGTTTTTCCATTGTACTGGCTCAAACTTGTTATTTAGTTATGCGATTTGTATGCTGCCCATCCCAACAAAGGCTCAGGGCAGAAGCAGAACAACTTAAAAGGGCAACTAGAATAAATAAAACACAGTAACACAATGCAACAAAGTAAAGCAGAGCTTCACTGAACATCTCAGCCTAACTTTGGTTGCTGAATACTGAGATATGGAACATTTGACTTTTGAGTAGCTTTGTAATTCATTATAAGGATTTCTCCCAAATTTTTCAGCTGTTGAATTCTCAGATATGTGCTTCCTATCAAAGCCTTATGAGAGAAAATGGAGCGATTGCTTGAAAACATCCCCTCTGATTTATCTTCCCCCTCTCTGTAGTCTATTGCTGAAGAAGTCACAGAAGAGCACCTGGCTGAAGGGAGATTATATCCGCCCTTGAGTACCATCAGAGATGTGTCCTTCAAAATTGCTGTTAAGGTAAGAATTTATCAGAAATGTATTCTTCAAAATTGCTGTGAAGATCCCTTCCAGCCCTTCTTTTCTGTGATTCTACTCGCCACATTTCATGTGAAGTCTTGTAATGCAAGGGTACACTCTCAAACTTTGGCAATGATTTTTCTGTTGTTTTCACATTTGAAGTAAACCGATATTGGTGGATACTTCTCTAAATGTTAGATCCAAAAATGAAATAGTCCAGTGGGAACCTTTCCATGGACTGCAGTGGACCAATCAAAGTTACTAAATATGACTCAGTCCATGGTAAATTTAGCAGAGGAAAATTGCAAGACCTAGCAGTTAAACACACTTGCAGTTGTTCCTCATTAATGGATGAATCATAAATTAACCTCCCTCCCTTATAGAGTCCTTACCAGTTACAAAATATAGACATTGACATTCTATATGGAAGTGCTGAATTTAACACTAAGAAAATGAATTTTACATGCATTAAAGCTTAATCCTCTATTTTTCACGTCCCATGGTACATTCGGGTTTGGGCTGTGGCAGCCCAGGTCCTATAATAGAGAAAGCAGGAGTTGCACTGGCAAAAACCCTTTATTAATGCCTTTCAATTTTATAGCTAGCAACAAAGGGAAAAACCAGAGTAAAGGGAAACCTCTGCCAGACAAGAAGTCTGCTGGAGCATGCTAACGAGCGTACTCCAGCCAGCCCCCATACCTCATGTATTAGTGTCCCTATGCTTCAAAATGGCAGTGGGGCTATTTAACTAAAGATCATTTGATGAGCTTTAGTTCAAGTGCCCTTGCCACCATTTTGAAGTGCGGGGATGCTGATAGACAGGACGCTGCAGACGCTTTAATTAGAGCAGCTCTCAGAGCACTTGTAAAAATGCCCTAAGTTACCAGAAAGAGTGAGGACAAGGAAAAGCCATTCCTCTTGAACATTAATGTTTGTATGGGACTTGAGTAGAGTGGGTTCACTGTTAGGCACCTAATTGGTAGACCAGGCCATGGTCTAGCGGGTCTGAGTTTAGGCAGGGCAGGTAGGCACCTAAACACCCTTGAAGATCTGGCCTTTAACCTGTATTTAAGCCTTTAAACCAGTCTCATTGACACTGATAGAAGATGTAGGTGCTTAATCTTTCCAAAAGGTCACTGATTCAGATGTTTCAGCATGGTTTTAAATGTAGAAATATAGGTCCCCAAAATAAATCATTTGTTTTTGGTGGCTATAGTTTGGCTCCAGTAATTTAGCCCTTGGCCTCTTGCCTCCGTTTCACATGTCCTAAAGATGGCAACAATCATATTGAAGTTTCTTCACAGCCCTGGGAATCAGGTCATATTGGTTCAGTGTAATGCCCTAGGGCTCAGACAGAAGTTACATTTCTTGTGTGATTGGCCCCCTGAAAGTAACACATGTGCACGGCTGCAGAGCACTTTTTAAGTGGCTGATTGCGTGACAAATTAACCCTCCTCAAATGAGGGATCAGAAAAAGGTGCTTCAGTGCACCTTAGGGAATTTATGTTCCCTACGTTTAATCTGTGGCATGATTGGTACTGGGCTCATGAAGCCCAGCTCTGCCCCCCGAGGGTGTCTGCAGGAATAGAGGGGGAGTGAGCTGTGGGCTGGGTTTTGTCCAGCCTGAGCTGGCGGGGGAGTAGGCACATTGGGGCCTCCCTGCCTTGCAGCTTCCCCAGCATCTCCCTCCAGTTCAGGCTGAGCAAACCCAACCCACAGCTCACTCTCTCTTCCCCTTCCTCTGCCTTTTTTGCAGACAGCCAAGGAACTGGGAGGGGACAGGGCTAGGGGAGACAGGAAGCTCCTCAGCTGCAGGCAGGCTTCTCGGGCTCCTACAGGCAGGCTGAATCCCCCCACCAGACCCACCCATATCTGTTGGGTTTGAGGGGGGCACTCTAACTCATGGCACTGTATGTAAAACACGAGTTAGAGCAGGAGCCTGCACGTCTGTCAGGGCCCCTAGTGATTAGTAATAAGAGGTATATTGTGCAGTTTCCTGCACGAACAGGGGACTGGCCTTGATGGCCCAGCCAGTCCCTTCTAATATTATGTTCCTAGTAATAGGCTCCCTTTGCAAGCAAACTACACAACAGTGTCTCTTGCTTCTCCACCTAGAAGTGCTTTCTTATACACAGAAGTCTTATTTTGCATCTCCTCATCAGCATTTGAACACAACTCAGGCTAGAATTGTAGACTCTTAGAAAGGTGGGACTAGAAGGGACCTCGGAAGGTGACCTAGTCCCACCTGCTGCATCAGGCAGCGTCATCCCCAGTAAAACTATCCTAAACAAGTGTTTGTCTAAACCAGAGGTGGGCAAAGTCCAGCCCATGGACCAGATCTGGCCAGCAGTGAACTCCATTTCCCAGCAGCCCCTGACCCCATGGCTGGGGCCAGTTTCCATGGAGACCAGCCCTGGCAATGCTGGCAGGTAGCAGTAGCACCAGCCTCTTCCTGGTGGGGAAACTGAGCAGGAGCCGTGCTGCGGATGGGAGCAGGGCTGCCTCAGCTGCCACTACCTGTGCAGGGTGGGCAGTGGTGGTAGTGGCGCCACTGGGAGGGGTGGCCATAGTGGGCTATGGGGAATTTAGGGGTGGCTATAGTGCCCCCAAGCCCCTCTCCCCAGTGCCACCCATGCTGGCAGAGTGCACAGCAGGGCACAGAACTGCTCCAGAGCCCAGCTAGGATCTTGCAGCAGTGACAGCATGATCCAGAGCCAGGGCAGAGCCACGATCTACAGCCTGCATGCCCCAGGCAGGGATGTGCAGGCAGCAGATTGCAGCTCTGCCCCAGTTCCTTGCAACGGTCACACTGTGGTCCAGAGCCGAGCAGAGCTGCGATCTGCTGCCAGCACACCCCTGCCCAGGGCATGCAGGCTGCAGATCGTGTCTCTATGGCCCTGGATCACACTGTCACCACTGCAAGATCTCAGCTAGGTTCTGGAGCAGCAATGCCCTGCCAGCACTGCTGGGGCCAGTTTCCACAGAAACCCCAGCATTGCACTATCACAGCAGGGCTGCTTCTGGGGTCTCTACAGAAACTGGCCCCAGCCACGCAGGCAGGGGCTGCTGGGAACTGGAGTCCGGCCACTGGCCGGATCCACCATGTTGCCCACCCCTGGTCTAAACAGTTCTTAAGAATTGCCAAGGATGGAGGTTTCACAACCTTTCTAGGGAGGCCATTCCAGTACTTAACCACCCACATAGTGAGAGAGTTTTTCCAAATTTCCAACCTAAATTTTCCTTGCTGCAACTCAGGGCTATTATTTCTTGTCTTATCTCATTTGGTGACAGAAGATAGTCATCACCCTCCTCTTTATAACTGCCCTTCAAGTATTAGAAAACTGTCATCCAGTCCCCCCTCAGTCTTTGCTAGACTAAATCACCCCAGTTCATCCAACCTTTCCTCATAAGTCATGTTTCCAAGACTAGCAACTGAACTCTCTTATTTGTCCACATCTTCCTTGAGGTACAGTATCTAAGGTCTCCATGGGAAGTCTTAAAAGTGCTGAGGGGAGCAGAAGAATCAACAGTCCTTTTAAGACAGCTAACTCAGTGTGCTAGTGCTTTTCTGGCAGCAAGAGCACCCTCTGGGCTCATATTCAGCTTACAGGTCGCTAGTAACCCCCAGGTCCTTTTCTGCAGCATTGCAGCCTAGCCCCGGTCTGACTTTGTGCATGTGACTGCTCCATCCGAAGTGCAGGATGTTGCACTTTTCTTTACTGAATTCTATTTGTTTAATTTCATACCAATTCTCCAGTTTAGGAAGGTCAGCAGGAAAAAGGGGCAGATGAACTTCAGTGCTGACAAGTACAAAATAATGCACAGGGGGAAGAGTAGCCTCTACTATAGAGAGACAGTGCTGGGCTCTAAAGTAGCCATTACAACTCAGGAAAGATCTCCTAGCATCACTGTAGATATTCTCTAAGAACATCAGCTCCATGAGCACTGGCAACCAAAAAAAGCCAATAAAACACCAGGCACTATTAAGAAGGGAATTGAAAACAAAATAGAAAGCATCATTATGCCACTGGGTCAATCCATGGTGCACCCATGTCTTGTAGAGTGCATGAAGTTCTGGTCTCCACATCTCAAAAAGGATGTAATAAAACTAGAAAGGTACAGACGTTGGCAACAAAGGTGATCGGGGCAAGGAGCAGTTGCCACATCAGGAATTACTGGAAAGGATACGATTCTTCAGTTTGGAAAGGAGAAGGCTAAGGTGGGGATATGATAGAGGTCTATATACTCGTGAAGGGTGTGGACAATGTGAAGAGGGAACTGTTATGCATCCAGTCCCAGAATACAAGAATTAGGGGGCACCCTCTGAAATAGTGGAACACAGGTTTAAAATAAACAAGAGGAAGTACTTTTTTACAGAGCATCTAATTAACCTGTGCAACACATTGCCACAGAGGTTGTAGGGACAGATAGTATAACCGGGTTCAAACAGGGATTAGACAACTCACAAAGAACAGGTCTACTGAGAACTATTAAATTGAATAGTAGGGATTTGTCCTCTGACATCCCTAAACCAATGATAGTTGATTCCAGGGAAAGTATGATGTGGGATGGATAACTCCAGACATGCCCTGTTCATATACTCTGCCTTTAAACCATCTACTACTGCCATTGTCAGAGACAAAATACTGCACTAGATGGACCAGTGGTCTGACCCAGTAAACAGTTCTTAGGTGCTTATGTGAATCCTAATAGGATCCTCCAGAGTGTCAGCAGCTGTACACATTGGTGCCATTTGCAAATTATCTCCCTTGTCCATCATTCCACGTGGTAAAAAGTATTGGGGTTCAGCTGTACAATGTGTAAAAATAAATCTGCCATGCTCTTTTGACCTGATCTAATGTTTTGCTTCTTTCTGTGTAGATTGTTGACTACGCCTACAAACATAATCTTGCTTCTTGGTACCCAGAACCCGAAGACAAGGAAGCCTTTGTCAGGAACCTGATCTACAGCCCAGATTATGAATCATTTGTCATTGATAACTACAGATGGCCCCAAGATGCCATGCAGATTCAAGCTGTGTAGTTTCTAGTAAACTCTGAGCCGTAACTGCCCATGGTTCTTTCTAGCCTAGTGTTATAAATGAATATTGAAGCTTGCAAAATCTTAACCTGTAAATTGATTCAAGCACTTTCTTACTCCAGCTGCCTTTTTCCTTTGTGAACACCTGAATAGGGAAAAGCAGAGTCAACAGAAGGTTCTCAGTACTCCAGTGGCAGGGACATAACATGCCCATGCCTTACTCCTATAGATCGTGCAGTGCCAATTTCCCATTGATTTAAAGCACTCCTTCACCTCAAGTGAACAGCAGTTTCCTCTCCACAGCATTTTGCTTTTGGACAGAAACAAATAGTAGATGATATATTCTAGAATAGCAAGGATACAGTGAAACATAATGCCTCAGGAACTGGATGGGGTCCTTTCTTCCCCAAAGAGGTTTGATTGCTCCAACCTATGTAGTTGTTCACTGATTTCTACTTAAAAAAGAAACAAATAATTGCCTAATGCACCATAGTTTCACTCTCATTTTGAAGCACTGTTTGCCTGTCAGTTACTGACATGTAAGTCAGGAAGGAGTATTTGCAGTGAAGCCATTTGAGTCCTGCAGTGGAAGTCCGTTCCAAAAAGCCCAGTTTGATGGTTTACTTTAATAACCAGTGGGCTCATCTACATGTGCATATTAATGCAAAGCAATAAACTCCAGAGCACATTGTTCTGGAGTTCATTGCTCCAGGCATGCTGTTTGCACATGCACCCAAGATCACAGCACGTTGAGCCAGGTCAGAGAAGCCCTGGCTAGCAAGGGACCCCAGGGAGTCAGCCTACCAGTCCAGGGTTGCTCCCCATGGCTCCCTCATGCCCCAGCCAGCCAGGGCAGCATCTACATGTGCACTGCAGCACAGTAAAAAACTCTGCAGCAGGATAGTACTTGTATTTAAAACTACTATCCTGATGTGGAGCAAATTGGTTTACTCCAGCCTAATAGGGGTTCACATGTAGATGCACGATGTTTACTGCGCAGCGAATTAGTCTTCTGCACAGTACACATCTTGTGTAGATGTGTCCACTCCATGCTAACTAGTGAGGAGTATCCCTCTGCTGTTTTGTTTTCCAACCAGAATTTTACCAAAAGGGAATGTTACTGGCAAAACTTGAAAATTTTATTTTTAAGAGTGAGAACTTGACAACATAAATTTGCTGTTTATTTATAGCCTTGTTCCATTAGTCCATAGGAGCAAGTGGCTGTAAACTACATCCCTACGGTCAGAAAGGCAACTACTTCTGTATGTGTGTTCAAATTTCAGCATGTTCTCCTTACCCAGGTATGAATATGGCCAACAAAGCTCTCAGGGAATATCGATAAGCTTTTTTGCCCACTTACCTTAAAGCACCACCCAAAGCATCATGTGCAATAAGTCATATTTATGCTCCTGTTTAAATATAGGCTTTACATCTACAACTTCTGGCTCACCAGATGTGACTGCCAGTCCAAAGAGATGAACAGCTGGCTATTTCTAGACTAAGCTTTAACACATTAAAAGGCAAAATAGGCAAAATAGATCTATTTTAAAATTCTACGAATTCCAGCAAAAGTCTTTGGATTTTGTCTGGCTGCAAACTGGCTCATCACAAACCTAAGTTATTCTGGACAGTACCACAGGCCAGGAATACTGAGGCATGGGACTTACATTAGCCAGGTAGAAGACATGAGACACGTGGCATCCCCACTGGTGTCTCAGCAGCCTGAACTCCTGAATTGAACTGTCTTTGAAAACTCTCTTTTCTGATTGGTTGGGGGGGGCAGAGGGAGAGGTGGTACCTGAACGTACCAGGTGACACGATTGCACCCCATGCAGCCCATTGGCGAATAGAAAGTTTCCTTTGAATTCAATTAATAAGCAAAGCAACAGGAGACTGAAGTGCTCCTCAGACAGCAAGTATGTCTCCAGCCTTCTGGGATGTCATTATCCTTATTCTCCCGTCCAGTTATAAGGTGTTACACTGACAAGCTAATCTCAGTAGTAGTCTGCTTTGCCATGTACAGGTCCAACAGATCCTGTTCAGTGGCGTTGCACTCTATGTAAAACCTCTGTAAAACCTCTGAGCATTGTAACAAAATTCTTTTGTGAAGACTTCAGACAAGATGAATGTGCAGACCATTTTATTTCAGATCATTAACAAATATACAACAAATCTTGACTTGACGTTATAGACAGCATTTTTGTAATGTGGCAACAGCTCTCTGTACTGTTTGTGGACTTTGTATAAGTCATTAAAGCTTAGTTGAAACATGCAAGGCTGCAGCAAGTTCTTTCAGTTTAAGAATCACTGACACCAAAAGTTTTCTTAATGGGTATTTTCAATTCACGGCTACTCCCTCGGCAGCTGGAACCAGCTGAACGTGAAGACTGGTGTGGTAGTGTATGCTCTCGCGGAACCCAAATCAGCAAGGGGGGAACCACAGACTCATTGGGTGCCTATACATGTGCGCCGACACGTTCTGATTAGACTTGATTAACTGAGCAGGTAGGAGCAGACTCAATTAATTGAGTCTACTGGATCATTCTAATTAGAACACTCCAGCCTGCTGCCATGTCTCGTGTATTCAGCATCCTGCATTTCAAAATGGTGACAGGGGCTCATTAACTAAAGCTCATCAAACGAGCTTTAGTTAAAGCACCCCTACAGCCATTTTCAAATACTGGACACTGAATACACTAGACGCTGCAGTATTTTAATTAGAGCATCTCCGGAACATTGGTGCTTCCTTTTTCCTCCTCTCTGCTTCCTTTCTTGGAGAAGATTCCCCTAATACAGCAGTTGTCAACCAGGGGTATGCAGAAACGTGCTGGGGGTATGCACGGGCAGGTGGGGACAGAGCGCTGCCACCCACCACCCCGTGCCACTGCCTCCCAGGAGCAGGGCTGGTGGGGGCGAGGTGCATAGGCACTGCACAGGCACAGCGAGCCGCACAAGCTCTGCCCAGCTGACTGCGGGGGAGAGCTCATACGTGGAGGCCACCACCGCCATCTACCACCCCATGCACATGCCAGCACCATCCACCACTGCTGCCACCCACTGCCCCACAATGCCACGTGCAAGCTCTCCCCCCACGCACCCTGCTCCACATCTGGCTGCCACCACCTCCCTCCCCACTCCCGCTTCATGTCTGGCCATGCCACCAGAAGGGATACACTCCTTAAAAAAGGTTAAAAACCCCTGCCCTAACATATTCACAGAGCAGAGCATGAACAACGGACGCATAAAAAGGAGGTGTGTTATTTTTTGCCATTTTAATTTTTCACCCTCTATTCTCCAAGTAAAAAAAAAAGAACCATGAGCCTTCAAGAAAATCCAGCTGCTCTCTTGATGGAGAATGAAACAGACTAAGTGAAACTTGTGCCATGCTTGCTAAAAGCAGCTAGAGGCCCTATTGCTGAGGACAAGTCAAAAGGGATTCTGCAAGTTAAAGTGACCAGTGCTTGTAAGGCCTTGTTCAGGCTTGTCTCCCAGAAGTGCTGCCATGAACCAGAACCCTACCACTCCTCCTTTCAGCACTTGCCCATCACACAAAAAAGGTAACAGAGCCACCTGAGAGCAGCCCGGAGCCTGTGTCAAAAAGCATCTATGAGACAGGGAGCCAAAGAGGAGCTCTGGGACTGCACTCGGCCACTCAAAGACAACTGTACGGGATGGTTTTCGAGCATTGGGCCACACACATCAGGTGTGAGTGGGGGAGACATGCCTCACAGTGGCCCTTCAAGGCATGACCAAGAGTGATGTGGACTGGCCCAAAGAGACCCTTTTAAAATCTACCTTGCATAACCATAGTAGAACTTGAGGGCTTGGTCTCTCTAGGACACCATTTCTCCACTCATCTGGGGCATTGCTGGTCCTGCAGTAGATAGCTGGAGCATCTCTGCAACCGCAGGCAGCTATGGGCTGTTGTTCTGCACATCCCTGGCTAGTTCACAATGACTCAGAAAGGTAAGGAGTCAAACCCTACAAAGAATCCAGGTTGGACCGTATTATCCCAACTAAGGAATGGTTTGGCTGCGTACTGTCCAAAGCCAGAGGTGAATCACTGAAGATATTTAAGCTACTACCAGATTCTCCCTTAGCAGGTATGGAATTTCAATGTCAGGATTCCTAAAATCAAAAACCAAAGTCAGACCTTTCTAAGGCAGGTCCAGCACAAGGATGCAACGTCAGAGAAAAACCTGTTTTATCTGGAGTCAGACATGCACAACCAGCAAATTCTGCAAGTTTACATGAGCTGGACCAGTATAGTGCTTTGCAAAAAACAAAACCCCAAAGAGTAAAATAAGGTCCCACATAAGCTATAAAAACCAGTCATGTAATATTCTACTGACCAGCCACTGAGGGACAGTACTACAAATCAATGTCCATGTGTTAATGTTTTGCTACAAAGAGGAGTGACGTCAAAGGTAAATCAAATCCATGTACTGTAGTGCTCTGATATGGCCCGTACTAGAAGAGGATACCATTTTGGGAGTGGGGTTGTGTTTTATTACCTTTTCTGAAAGATGTGGACCTTCCAGTCTTCGATCTAAGAATAAGCAACAGACCATGAATATCAATTTTTTACAAATGAAGCACTCGCGAATGACTTGTTCACATCTCTGTTGACTGCAGAGAAGTAGAAGGCATGTGTGTGAATACACAGGAGAAGATAATGCCCCAGCACACAAAGAGGGGGGTTGAGACTAAGTAAATAATTGCTGCAACCTCCAATGGAAAGAACCAGAGTCCAAAAGAGCTAGTCATGGGACTCTCAAGCAGCCACAGCCCTTTTCTTCTTCCATTAGGTGTTGTCACGGAAAGACCCAAAGCCCTGAAAAAGGGGGGAAAAAGGGCTCAAGCCCAGACGGTTCCTGCAGTTACAGGAGCTGTCCATCAGCATCCAGCTGCAGGCTTCACCCTTTGCTACTCACAACCGACAGTCTGCTCCTTCACAGCCCCACAGCTACATTCAAGACTGCGAGGGATGCTGGTACCACAGTGACAGGCACAATATGGAAGACAGCACTGTACTGACTCACATACCACAGGGACCTCCCCTCCGAAATTGGGGTGTGTCCCTTAAGCGAGCAGGTGATCCTTCTTCACTGGAATAGAAGCACGGTGCCTACATGTGTCTACTGGCTGCTGAGCTGGCTGCCGCTTCACCCTGGCCCCCGCAAGGAGAAAGGGTAACCCTCTCGCGGCAGCAGCTCTTGTCTGAGCACTGTAGCTTTGTGCATGAAGCAGCAATTGAGCTGGCTCTGGGCAAGGGAGCTGCTGCATACAGTAGCTTGATGAAACTTTGTGGTATAGAAATGATGATTTGCAAACATTTCCATTAAGAGCTATTTACAGTAAGGAAATAACAGTCTTGCTACTGCTCATCCAGAGGTCTGAGGTCTCACTTTGTTGCTGTCCTGCCACATGAGAAAGTTGTTGCTACTTCTCCCACTCTGCACA